ACACACACACACCCACACACACACACACACACACACACACACACACACACACACACACACACACACAGAAGCACAGACACCCAGACACATAGAGAGATGAACGATCATGTTGCTTTGGCTGCACTATGCATACAAGGAGGCTCATACTTTCCTTGTCTAACATGAATTAACATTTAAAAAGAGTGAATGGACTTTTTTTATTGGAAATTGTATGTGAATGCTAAAATGTGGAATGTGAGACTTGAAGATGGAGCTGCTTTATGTGGTCAAATATGCTTGTGCATAGGAATACTAATGTTCTTGTGCAGCTGGGCCTGTTTTGCCATGCTGGGCTTAACTGGTGTTACAATGGACAACAAAACAGCATCTAGCTGGTACCTGGGCTCTGTACAGCACCTGGTTGGTGATTGGTTTGGATTCGATTTGGCAGACTGAACTCTGTGCGCAAGCCTTGATAGTTGAGTCACGTTCGTCTCTGCTGTCTTATGGGGCTCCACAGGGATCAATTTTAGAGCCCATGATTTTCTCCTTTCACTTGCCTGAGTAAGGATGGGAATTCCTTTCATTTCTATCCTGATGACATTAAGGTTGACGTCTCATTCATGAAGAAAGATGCATCTTGAAAATATTAAAGCCTGGATGGCCTTGAACTCTTTTACATCTTTGTTTGTGAAAGAAAATAGAGGTGTTGGTGTTTTGTCACAGTGGCCCTTGTAACTTTGCCTTTGTTGACCTTGGGCTTCATGACACAGTATGTGAAGCCAATAGAAACAGTGAACAAAATGCCTACGTTGTTTGTGTTATGTGCTTAATTATTAAGAGGCTTTCATGTTATGATTTAGCATCCAACACCGCTGTGAAAATCCTTTCAAAATTTGTTGCTCATTCATAATTGTAAAATGTTAGCTAGGCTATCTTTTGTCCACTGAAAATAAACTCTTAAACAGTCCTGAGTCAATGTTCTGAAAGACCCCAGATTCTTGTCTTAGATTATATTGGTACAAACAATAAAATGTTCAGGAAGAAGCCGATTTTCTAAAGGTTAGTTTAGTTTGCTTTGAGTGTAGGAGTCAATATTAGACGCAGTAAACAACACAATTTATCACAGTCCTCAGAGAGACTGCTCTTTATTTCTTTGATAAAAATATTGGCTTTCCTGCATACTTTCCCACGTCACAATAATACGTAAGTCAATAATACATTCAGTAGCAGAAAACAGTTAATTATGCAAGCCTATAGTCACTCCTGTCCAATCTAGAAACATTTCTTTGTTTTTAACTAAACACAGCCGTAAAAGACTTCTCAAAAGCTCATTTGAGTAGAAAATCACAACCTGAAAAAAAAAAAATATCCGTTTTACATTCACAAACACATGGTTTTACAATACTGTGCTGTATGTCATTCTAGCTGTCGTATAGTCTGCATTTGATATAAATACATATTTCATTTTATACATTCCTATGTCACTCGTTAAAGCATCTTTCTGACTACCCCCGGTTCCTCCCACATGCATACACACCAACGTGTGTAGCAGGAGGAGAGACAACAGGAAACATGACTTCCCCTCGTGACTTCGTGATGATGTGAAGAGTTCAAGCGCAAAAGGGCCACGCCTACTACCAGACAACCTATCACAGGCTCGTTTGCTGTCACATTTCCTTCCACTGCAAAACCAAACAGCTCCTTTGTACAAGTGTCAAAAATGAAGGTTTTCTTTCAGAAAGCGACACGTACCCTTCATAGTGTCATTCCTCTTGATGCCAATCACGGGCCCATACGTACTCACACAACGACAGCGTACTGTCAGACCTCAAACATGTCTGCTTTTTTTTTTTTGTTGTTGTTCTTTTATAGCTTGAGGTGTCACAAAAGCAAAAAAAAAAATATTCAGACCCAAGTCAATGTTCTGCATCACGTTTCCACGTTTTCTTTCTTCCAAGTTTATTTTTTTCCCTTGGGTGAGAAGAGAGCCTACTCTTTCATTTGGTAGGTTCAGGGTTTATATAGTCACAGAGCACAATATTCTGTGGTTCTTGAAATTAAAAAAAAAATAAAATTAAAAATACAACCCTCGTGTTACGCAATTCACAAGCACTGGAGAGGTCTTCTTTTGCATTTGAACTCTTCCGCGCTTTTAGCATGTGGATGAAGGGTTAGCGTTATTAGTGTAGGGTTATTACATTGCAGTAGGCCAATCTATCCTGATTATTTCTTGGCATGGCCTCCTTCTTGCACACACCCTCCCGCCTGCTTCTGGATAAAGGGACACCTGCAAGTGATTCCCCCAACATTATCCACCTACCTATTTGCTCGTCGTTTTTTTTTTTTTTTTTTTGGGGGGGGGGGTTTTGTTGCTTTTTTTTTTTTTTAAATTTCCCAGCATGCCTGCTTTGTTCCCTGTTGGCCAGGGGAAGCGGGAGACAGTCCCTCGCGCAAATGTCACAATAACATGGCGCCAAACAGCACAAATGACTGCACGCATTGTTACAAATGTCATCTGAGCTGCCGTGAGCTCTTCGGGCTTAGCGAACCATTTTTTTGGTGTGCCCGCGTGTGTGTGTGTGTGTGTGTGTGTGTGTGTGTGTGTGTGTGTGTGTGTGTGTGTGTGTGTGTGTGTGTGATCTTAATTTTTAATGATCAACCACCGAATCATTCGGCAACATTGACGATAGCATGTAGCGCAAGTGCTCCCTGGTGCTAAATGAAATGCGATGACCCGCCGCTTTGGGCTGACTTTGAGGGAGCGGAGGTGAAGTCCCTCACTAAATGACGACTGCCGATTGATTTTTCTTTTGGTGCAGCTCCTCTACACACTTAATCTCACAGGCACTTACCTCAGCTCAACCTTTTGAATGTGATGTGAGATCCAAAAGACAATCAACTGGAAGCTACGCAACATTATCAGAATTACTGATGGACATTTACCGCATTTTAAAGGTGATGTTCATGTGATGGGCAAAAATGACAATGCTTGTGTTCTGAGCAGGAACAAGCACATGCTGAGCTGAAAATGCTACATTTTGCCACATAAATAATAATGGGGTGGGTGGGGGGGGGGATCAAACATAAGAAAATGAAGTAACATTGTACAAAAATATGTCTTTTCTATTTTTTAACCGTGCAGGCTGTCAGCCAACGGATAAAGAGGGCAGTTGAAAATAAAGACTGCGCAGGTGGGTTGGACATGAAGTGGAAGCAAAGAGCGCGCGTTGAACGACAGGAGGAAAGCAGAGGAGCAGGTGGCAAGCCAAACTCCCTCATTTCGCTTTGTAATTTGGAGGAAAATCAATTTGAGTGGAACAAAAACACGCCGATTGGACTGGCCGAACTCCTCATCTATCCCGACACGTGGCTGAGGAGAAACGGGGGTTGGGGGGGGGCAGTTATCTTTGATGGAAAGAGACGCTGGAACCACATGAGCCCAACTGTTGCTCTTTAGCGAGACATGGAAAATTGTATTTCCACCGACATGTTGTATTCGTGAGTCAAAGAGTCTTTGACGGACTAAGTACATTCCATTCTTCATATTGTCCCCAGCAGCCAGGACAAAGACGTGCGCAACTCTCCTACGTCAAAAATAAATTCCATGATTTGGATTGTCGTCTTGCCGGGACAAAACACTCAATACATTTCATAATATCTCCAAAACATACGTCGCGATGCTGAATGGTGACACGCACCATAATACAAACGGCATCTTCACCATGGTAACATGCAGTCACTGTTACAAGTTAAAAAAAAAATAAAAAGAATACTTTGGCGTGGCAGCAAAATTTTTGGCATCATGAGTTGCCAAGTTGGAATTAACATGTGAAAGTATGCCGGATGTTCGAATGTGAAGGCCTCAACTCAATCAGCCCACGTCAAACAATCTCCGGCTTCAAGGCGACTGATGGATGAATGAATGCAAGGTTTCTGCAAGAGCCATTTGCAATTTCAAGACACTCTTTTGACACTTGAGAGAGATGTGCCTCAATAGGTCTGAACTTTGATCAGCCAGTGGGATGCATGAGAACAAAATCAAAGTCACCGCTTGATCGTGGGTGGAGGAAGGCAATTTTTTTTTGATGGGAGAAACAAATTTGAAGGGTGAGAGATTTGTCCCAAATGACACCTTTTCACCGAATGCATCAATCAATTCACACTCTTTTGTGTCCGAGGGGTCCTCGGTTTGCGACGTAAACCAAAATTTCTTTCCTTGGAACGTACCGTCGTCCATCAGTGACCTTCGCTCATGCAGCAGTCAAGTCCTAATTACAGGCAACAGACTTGAGGTCATCCACATAAATCAAAGTATGAGCAGACCTGAGCAAACCTTCTTGTGCCGCGAAATAAATTTCCACCCAGCAAAGTCATTCAACGAAGACAGTTCGTAAGCCCAAAAATCTCATCTATCGCTCCCACCTTGAACCAAGGACCCCCACTTCGCTTTCAACCAGTGCGCTGTGTTGACGGCTACCTGGTTGCTGTTAGTACCGCTACAGAGTGCGTTCAAACCTTCCATCCATCCATCTTCTATCGCACTTGTCCTCATTAGCGTGACGAGTGAGAGTTCGGGGGACACCCTTAACGCGTCGTCGCCAGTCAATCGCGGGACAAATCACCGTTCACGCTCCTACTCGCGCCTAAGGACAATTTCGAGTCATCAACGAAGCTAGCATGCTTGTCATTGGAATGTGTGAAGAAGCCAGAGTGCCCTCAGAAAAGTAACTCGGGGGGGGGGGGGCAATGCAAACCCCACACAGGGCGGCGCCGAGATTTGACACCCAAACCCCAGAACTATGCGGCAGATTTGCTAGCCACTATGGCACCGTGTTGGCCCCTTAAAGTACAGCCCATTTGTTCAAATGTATCCCAATAAAGGGTTAAAGAGACGTTTGATGACATTCATTATATTCATCCAGGTCATGGCTGATGGTAAATCATCCAGGGCCATTATTAGTTCACAGAGGACTATCCACTAATGGCAGAAATTTCCTCTTTCTAATACTGGAAACGACGATAACTAGCTCATAGCCATACTGCTGAACATCTTTGTGAAGCTACAGTAACAGTCTAGCGTGAATACATATTGGACCGACGATATACACAGTTGTCACAACGAGCTTGTCAATTTCAGAGCGAGCACCGAAAGGGGAGGAAAAAAAAGGGCTCTTAAAGACTCTTCTGCATATTAAAACTAGTTGTTGTAGGATAACGGCTGGGCACGCCAATTTGGGGGCTGTGCCTGAGTACCCCCCTGATCAGACTTACTGGAACATTCTGGCACATAAAGTAGCAGGTGTTCATAGTTCATAGACTGGTGACCTCGTAGCACCAAAGCCTTTGATGCCTCCCATCGGGCTATGAATCCGCCGGTACAGATGGCGACCCATAAACCACACATACAGGGCCGTCGGTCCGTGGTTTGGGCGACGACGAGCTCGAGAGTCTGTAGATTGTATTTTTTTTTTTGCAAAGAGATACTGGTTCCCTCACTGTAATTCAGAACAACTTTTTGTCACCGTAGCATGCTTTTCTGTCATAACACTTTGTTTCGGCTCAAAGCTAGCTTAAGTGCCACCGCTGTTCCCGCTGTGTAGGCTGACCTTTTCCCAAAGAGTCCCATGCAGGCGAGGATGGTCTCCAAGGAGACAAAAGCCCCGATGTTGCCTCTCTCCCCCCGCCCCGCTGACGACTGAGCCTTAGCCTTCAAGAGGAAATACAAATAGGCTTCCCGTTTTTGTCGTACTGGTACACCAACATCTTGATGCAGTGGGAATTGGCCGGTGAGATCCAGGGACTGCTCGTGATGGAGAAATTGTGGCTGGCATAGAAAGGCTGCGGCTGCTTCCGGCAGTGGACCAGCGCGTGCAGCACGTTGGCCGCCATGGCCCTGAAACGCTTGCTGATGAAGCAGTAAAGGAAGAAGTTGACGCCGGTATTGAGCAACGCCAGCATGTTGGCCAGATCCGTCAGCATGTGCAGCAGGCGCCCGCCGCCCGCCGAGGCCGGTGGCGACGAGTAGAAGTGGTAGAGTATCATGAGGGTCCGAGGTGCCCACAGAACGGCGAAAATGGAGGTGATGGCGAGCAGGATGGCGGTGGTCTTGCCGGTGGAGTAGCCACGCATGCGGAAGCAGCTGCGGCGGCGGCGCAGCTTGCGCACGATGACGGCGTTGAGGGTGAAGAAGACGGCGCAGGGGAGGAGGTAGATGGTGGCGCAGTGAGCCCACACCAGGACGTGTTGGGCCGCGGTTCGGATGTCGTTCTCGCCGCCGCCCCCGCTCGCCACAGCGGGCAAGCTGTGCCACAGCTCCGGCCACCAGTAGTATGGCGCGGCCGAGAGCAGGCACCCAATATAGACGGCGAATATCACCCTCCGCGTGCGCGCCGGGTAGGAGACGGTGTGGTAGCGCAGCGGGTGGCAAACGGCAATGTAACGGTCGACGGTGAGGGGCACGGTGATCCAGATGGACGTGTGGATGGCGCAGAACTCCAGCACCTGCACGGCGCTGTTTATATACGGCGGGAGCGGCGTGGCCAGAATGAAGTCCTCCAGTATGAAATCGACAAAAACAATGAGCAGCAGGACCATGATGTCGGCGGACGCCAGCGCCAAGAGATAATTGTAGGACGACTTCTGACGACGCAGCACCAGCTGGGACAGGATGACCACCGTCAGGATGTTGGCTGGAGAGGGTGAAGGCAAGGAGGGGAAGTTGTAATGAGGATGACGACAGCAATTAGTGCAAGGAATAAGCCGAAAAGATGAAATGGTGATTGGAAAATGCAGGAAAGGGGAAGGAAGGAAAGAGAGAATTTAGGGTGTTAGTTGGCAGCTACGTTGAAAGAGAGAACATGCTACACTAGCAAACAGACATAAACAATCCAAAAGCGGTCAAGGTGTACTTCTGTACACACACCCTAAACTCTAACGGTGCGTTCACACTGGACCTGATTACATATAAAGTCAAAGCAAATGTTCGGATAAGTCTTGGACGAACTCACAACACTGCGGAGTTGTTGAGCAGAACAGTGGAGAATAATTACCGGTATCCCTTTTGTGGGCTCTTTTTCGTGGCTCTTGCTACCAATACCGGGACCGTACAAAATGAGAGCAGGACTTTAGAACGGTGAGCAATCAAGCTAGTGTATGTGGTAAGTATGTTTATGTTACTTGTTTACAGCTGTATTTTACTGGGAACCAAGTTAGCAATAGCATTAGCTAAATTTTTAGCACCAGCTACCACACACTGCTGATTGTCTGACTTCATTGCGATGTTCCGAAGAGGAACAGTGGACAGTATGGCACCAATCAAGCCAATTTACCTTGGGTGTGTGTACAAAATTCATAACGCTTTGCCGAGTTTTACAAAATACTTTTTTTGGCAGGGTTAAGAAATGCAACATCAAACCATCCCAGGATTGGCACCCTGCTTGTTGGCGCGGCTGTGCATTTGTCTCGATGGTGCCTGTGGGCTTTCGCATTCAAACACGTCATATGTATTGCATTGGCCCGAATATAAGACAGTGTTTTTGCATTGAAATAAGACTGAAAAAGTGGGGGTCGTCTTATATTCGGGGTCTAGACATTATACCCATTCACGACGCTAGATGGCGCCAGCTACAATTGAAGCGAATGCTGAACTTGACTCACCGGGCCAAAGTGAACCCCTGTCACGAATAAAAATAAAAATAGCGGTAGCACGAAGAAGAAAAATAAAAAATAGCGGTAAGAAAGAAAATAGAAGAAAATAATAGAAGAGATAACAGAAAATGGAGAAACGTAGCAACAATCTGGAGAAAAGTGGGTCGAAGATCGGCCAGGTTAACCGGCAGCTGAGGAGAAATTATGATGTCATTTACATTTCAAAAACCAGAAGCCATTCATTTATGAATGTGATTGCACTTTAGTTTACATATTTAAAAGTTCAGATATTAAGATTTGAATGAGGCAAAATAACATGCTTTTTCTCTCAAAAATATTGTTATAATCATTTGTTTCAGATGTACTGTAATTATTTTCTGTATAAAATTTAATTTGGTGTTCAAAAAGTCTTTTTTAAAACTTGAGTCTTGAAAAAGAGGGGGTCGTCTTATAATCAGGGCCGTCTTATATTCGGGCCAATACGGTATGTAGATTATTCTGATGATGCTACATGTTTCGAATCACACCTAATTCAGGAAATTATTATGAACTATTAACCCTTTCAGGGACAGCGGTGACTACGGTGGACAGCTTATCACGCTATCAGGTTACAGGGTGCATGAAAGGATTAAACAGCGAATTTTTATTTAGCAACTGACGACAAAGAGAGACAATGTAAGTGAATGAGTGAGTGATGAGATCTGCCCACATTCTGTCGAAGCCCATGGGCTCCCATATGCAAAGTACACCTGCAATGTCATGGCAGGAGAAGCTGTCAGTGCCTTTGGCAAAATGTTTCAACGAAGAACAAAAAAAAAAAAAAAAAAAACAAGAAAAACAGAAAGAGGAAGAGAAGGTGAAGCGTGACATCCTCCCCCAGGCTACCGAGTTAGCCACGAGCAACACTCTGCCTCTGGCGAGGGAGCTTCTCCAAAAAACCGCAAGGATATTCCATCAGTCTGGACAGTCTTCCCTCTTTTTTTTTTTTTTTTTTTTTTTTTTGTTTTGTCAGGTAGAGAGAAATCCCCCGGAAGATTTATGGCCGCAATAACTTTATGTGCAGCAGGCAGGAGGAGCGGCGTTCGCCCAGCGCTACAAATGACTGCCTTGTTTGTTTGTGAAGCCCTGACATGTCACCCGGCCTCTCTTTTGTGCTCACATCATCTTGACAATGTCAAACTACCCAAAGTCAAAGTTTGCAAGAAGAAACCGTCTGCATTCATTCACTGAGGATGACTGGCACGCGCAGGCTGCAGAAAACGAGGCCGGTGTCTGCGCTGCGGGTTCCCAAAGGATGCTCATATTTATAGGCGGTCTCATAAAACGGCACTGTACAGCGTTAACAGCAACGTTAAATTCAGTGGCATTCAGCCACGGCTCATTGAATTTATTTTATTTAACTGCCGATGATCAAAAGGAAGCGTCTCATTAATATCGAGGAACATACTCGAATGTTTTATTTGGAGCGACGAGATGAATTTGCAGCGGTATCATCCATTTGGTCTGAATAAAAGTATGACAAACGATAGCTTGCCATTTTTGTAAAGTGCATATGCAGGACGGTGAATTGAAAACCCTGTAAAATAAATGTAGACATTTGTTTGTGAACGTGTGTCACAAACAAATGTCGAAGAAGCGACTTCATTGTGGAGATAAACTGTTTTCCACCATATCAGGAATCCAGATTTTTTTGGAGGGAGGCGTGGCTAAAATGGGATCCAGTGATGCACTCCGGCATGAGTGGCCCCGTCCCCAACAATAGTAGAATTTGAGCGTCTTTTGGCAGCAGCAGTTATTGCAACACGCGGTTCGCTACACACCTAAACCCCAAAAATTGATTTTCTCCTTAGTTCATAAGTGTGGCTACTTTTAGAGTGCCCTGTTGTTGGCTGTGAGTGCGCGCATGTCACGGAAAGAAGGCGAAACAAAGTCAGACTTGACAATGTGGGGGTGGAATATATTGGCTGTAAATGGCTTAAACGTGCACTTATGTGTAGGCAGAAATTATAATAATAATTGGCAGTTGACATTTGAGCACATTCAGTGGACACACCCACAGCATTTGAAAACGGCAAAAAAAAAAAAGCATCATTTTTTTTTCATGATTTTATAATCCCGGCATTTTTCGGAATGATTCAAATTTGACAGAGTTGTTAACAGGGCTATTCTCTGTGATGTCAAATTTAGAAGACATATTTCCTTTTCACTTGACAGACACTTTAAACAACCCAATCCAAAATGTCAACCATCTGTTTTGTACTAATTGCACTGAGTTATGTTCCGCTCTGAAATGCGACTCAATTCTCACGAGGGGAAGGTTAATCTTGCTAAATCTACTTGCACAACAAATGCTTATGTTCATAAAACAAGGTGTGCGCATGTCTAATTTCAAAGGTGTCATATTAAAAAAAAAAGCATAATTCATGTTCAGAGCGTATGCAAATCGATGAACACAACAAACACTCGCTTGCATAACTTGAATCCCCCAATGTGCTGGCGCAGCATGACGCCAATCTTTTTTTTTTTTTACAGATGAAGATGCATTTTGACATTGATTTGCATTCCAGCATCAAATGCACTTAGCTGAAAATGGGTTGTGTGTGTGTGTGTGTGTGTGCGCGCACATGCATCCCTGCACTGCCGCCCTGTTTGGTAATAGAACCCAGATGGGATTAAAAGCGGCCATCTTCAAGTCTTCGACATCGCACTTCGCAGCCGCTATCAGCTAATTACAAATTACCAATGCAGCTCCAGTTACAATGTCCTTGCCAGGCTGAAGGAGACGCTGCAAAGGACACGTACACACACGCACACACACAAGCAGATACGGCACACACGCGTGCGGGTGCAGCACCATGATGACGCGGTGCACATGTTAAATTGCTCTGTGGTGAAAGAATCATTGATTGCGTTATTGACTACGTCTTCATCAACAGGTCATTTGTTTTTTTTGTTTTTTTTTCATGTGATTCACTGAAATTCCCTTTCGACTCAAAGCACTTGGCTTTGTGCATTGACCAGCAAATGAGACACCTTCAAACCAGGTGAGCGACAGAGGTGCAAATGTCTTCTTTTGGATTTGTTTGGCAGTCGACGACAGTTTGAAATGGCACCTACAGGACTTGAGTGGTACAGCGGCAACCAAACCTAGCGTAGTATTGTAGCATTGTTTGGAGAATAACGTCAACAGTCAAAAACGAGCACTTCCGACAACGACGGTTTACTCCAAAAAGAAGGTTCTTAATTGGATGTGTCCTAATTTTTTTTTTTTTTTTTTTGCTCACCCTCCACCATTTCCAAATGAACTCTATTAAAAATTCCTGCACAATAGCGCTGACCTTTAATTCAAGCGCTTGCTTTCTCAAATCCGCCTTCCAATTATTTCTCTCGGGCCGCCAAGCAGAGACGGAGCTGCGGGGGAATGGCAGCAGTGAATTGCAGACCGTCACCGGGCTTCGGGCCTTATTCTGCTCGGGCTCCCCTGTGACAAACAAAAGGCGACTTTGACATTTCCATTTAGCCGAGGCTAGCTCGCGTGGGGCTTTCCGATTCATTTCGATGAAGGGATGTCCCCTGTGTGGTCTCCGGGGAGGCGGCCCGGGCATAGATGAAGGCGCTTGCCATTTTACAGGTATGAGGTGGCAAATAACAGGCTGGTCTCAATGGGGTAGGTGTGGGGTGAGGAGCATTGAAGTACACTGAGTAGCATGTGCGAAGAAAACTGCATGTAATCGAAATACACTATCGCATTAACATTAGATTTTTTTGATGCATGTGAAATATCAATTGATAAATATCATAATTGTGACTCTCAAACTATACACATCGAAAGCCATCTTTCTTCAGCTTATGCTGTATTTAAAAAAAAAAAGAGCGCAGCTGCTCTTTTAAAATGAGGCTGCAAACTTTAAGGGTTCATTTATTGGGTTGTTTTTAGTGTACATTTTGTCATAATAAATCTATTGATATCGCTAAGGGGGCTGCGATACGATAACTACATTCACTATATACAAAATAAATATACAAAATAAATATACAAATA